GATGTGTTCGAGTCTGAGATGTGTTCGAGTCTGAGATGTGTTCGAGTCTGAGATGTGTTCGAGTCTGAGATGTGTTCGAGTCTGAGATGTGTTCGAGTCTGAGATGTGTTCGAGTCTGAGATGTGTTCGAGTCTGAGATGTGTTCGAGTCTGAGATGTGTTCGAGTCTGAGATGTGTTCGAGTCTGAGATGTGTTCGAGTCTGAGATGTGTTCGAGTCTGAGATGTGTTCGAGTCTGAGATGTGTTCGAGTCTGAGATGTGTTCGAGTCTGAGATGTGTTCGAGTCTGAGATGTGTTCGAGTCTGAGATGTGTTCGAGTCTGAGATGTGTTCGAGTCTGAGATGTGTCTGAGTCTGAGATGTGTCTGAGTCTGAGATGTGTCTGAGTCTGAGATGTGTCTGAGTCTGAGATGTGTCTGAGTCTGAGATGTGTCTGAGTCTGAGATGTGTCTGAGTCTGAGATGTGTTTGAGTCTGAGATGTGTTTGAGTCTGAGATGTGCCTGAGTCTGAGATGTGCCTGAGTCTGAGATGTGTCTGAGTCTGAGATGTGTCTGAGTCTGAGATGTGTTTGAGTCTGAGATGTGCCTGAGTCTGAGATGTGTCTGAGTCTGAGATGTGTTTGAGTCTGAGATGTGTTTGAGTCTGAGATGTGCTTGAGTCTGAGATGTGTTTGAGTCTGAGATGTGTTTGAGTCTGAGATGTGTTTGAGTCTGAGATGTGTTTGAGTCTGAGATGTGCTTGAGTCTGAGATGTGCCTGAGTCTGAGATGTGTTTGAGTCTGAGATGTGTCTGAGTCTGAGATGTGCCTGAGTCTGAGATGTGCCTGAGTCTGAGATGTGTCTGAGTCTGAGATGTGTCTGAGATGTGTTTGAGTCTGAGATGTGTTTGAGTCTGAGATGTGTCTGAGTCTGAGATGTGTCTGAGTCTGAGATGTGTCTGAGTCTGAGATGTGTTTGAGTCTGAGATGTGTCTGAGTCTGAGATGTGCCTGAGTCTGAGATGTGTTTGAGTCTGAGATGTGTTTGAGTCTGAGATGTGTTTGAGTCTGAGATGTGCTTGAGTCTGAGATGTGTTTGAGTCTGAGATGTGTTTGAGTCTGAGATGTGTTTGAGTCTGAGATGTGTTTGAGTCTGAGATGTGTTTGAGTCTGAGATGTGTTTGAGTCTGAGATGTGTTTGAGTCTGAGATGTGTTTGAGTCTGAGATGTGCTTGAGTCTGAGATGTGCCTGAGTCTGAGATGTGCCTGAGTCTGAGATGTGTTTGAGTCTGAGATGTGTTTGAGTCTGAGATGTGTCTGAGTCTGAGATGTGCCTGAGTCTGAGATGTGCCTGAGTCTGAGATGTGTCTGAGTCTGAGATGTGTCTGAGTCTGAGATGTGTCTGAGTCTGAGATGTGTCTGAGTCTGAGATGTGCCTGAGTCTGAGATGTGCTTGAGTCTGAGATGTGTCTGAGTCTGAGATGTGTCTGAGTCTGAGATGTGTCTGAGTCTGAGATGTGTCTGAGTCTGAGATGTGTCTGAGTCTGAGATGTGTCTGAGTCTGAGATGTGTCTGAGTCTGAGATGTGTTTGAGTCTGAGATGTGCTCGAGTCTGAGATGTGTTTGAGTCTGAGATGTGTTTGAGTCTGAGATGTGTTTGAGTCTGAGATGTGCTTGAGTCTGAGATGTGTTTGAGTCTGAGATGTGCCTGAGTCTGAGATGTGTTTGAGTCTGAGATGTGTCTGAGTCTGAGATGTGCCTGAGTCTGAGATGTGCCTGAGTCTGAGATGTGTCTGAGTCTGAGATGTGTCTGAGTCTGAGATGTGTTTGAGTCTGAGATGTGTCTGAGTCTGAGATGTGTCTGAGTCTGAGATGTGTCTGAGTCTGAGATGTGTTTGAGTCTGAGATGTGTCTGAGTCTGAGATGTGTTTGAGTCTGAGATGTGCCTGAGTCTGAGATGTGTTTGAGTCTGAGATGTGTTTGAGTCTGAGATGTGTTTGAGTCTGAGATGTGCCTGAGTCTGAGATGTGCCTGAGTCTGAGATGTGCTTGAGTCTGAGATGTGCCTGAGTCTGAGATGTGTCTGAGTCTGAGATGTGTTTGAGTCTGAGATGTGCCTGAGTCTGAGATGTGCCTGAGTCTGAGATGTGTCTGAGTCTGAGATGTGTCTGAGTCTGAGATGTGCCTGAGTCTGAGATGTGTCTGAGTCTGAGATGTGTTTGAGTCTGAGATGTGCCTGAGTCTGAGATGTGTCTGAGTCTGAGATGTGTCTGAGTCTGAGATGTGCCTGAGTCTGAGATGTGTTTGAGTCTGAGATGTGTTTGAGTCTGAGATGTGTCTGAGTCTGAGATGTGCCTGAGTCTGAGATGTGTTTGAGTCTGAGATGTGTTTGAGTCTGAGATGTGTCTGAGTCTGAGATGTGTCTGAGTCTGAGATGTGTCTGAGTCTGAGATGTGTTTGAGTCTGAGATGTGTTCGAGTCTGAGATGTGTTCGAGTCTGAGATGTGTTCGAGTCTGAGATGTGTTCGAGTCTGAGATGTGTCTGAGTCTGAGATGTGCCTGAGTCTGAGATGTGTTTGAGTCTGAGATGTGTTTGAGTCTGAGATGTGTTTGAGTCTGAGATGTGTTTGAGTCTGAGATGTGCCTGAGTCTGAGTCTGAGATGTGTTTGAGTCTGAGATGTGTTTGAGTCTGAGATGTGTTTGAGTCTGAGATGTGTTTGAGTCTGAGATGTGCCTGAGTCTGAGATGTGCTTGAGTCTGAGATGTGTCTGAGTCTGAGATGTGTCTGAGTCTGAGATGTGCTTGAGTCTGAGATGTGTCTGAGTCTGAGATGTGTCTGAGTCTGAGATGTGTCTGAGTCTGAGATGTGTCTGAGTCTGAGATGTGTCTGAGTCTGAGATGTGTCTGAGTCTGAGATGTGTCTGAGTCTGAGATGTGTCTGAGTCTGAGATGTGTCTGAGTCTGAGATGTGTCTGAGTCTGAGATGTGTCTGAGTCTGAGATGTGTTTGAGTCTGAGATGTGTTTGAGTCTGAGATGTGTTTGAGTCTGAGATGTGCTTGAGTCTGAGATGTGTTTGAGTCTGAGATGTGCTCGAGTCTTAGATGTGCCTGAGTCTGAGATGTGTTTGAGTCTGAGATGTGTTTGAGTCTGAGATGTGTTTGAGTCTGAGATGTGTTTGAGTCTGAGATGTGTTTGAGTCTGAGATGTGTTTGAGTCTGAGATGTGTTTGAGTCTGAGATGTGCTTGAGTCTGAGATGTGCTTGAGTCTGAGATGTGTTTGAGTCTGAGATGTGTCTGAGTCTGAGATGTGTTTGAGTCTGAGATGTGTTTGAGTCTGAGATGTGTTTGAGTCTGAGATGTGCTTGAGTCTGAGATGTGCTTGAGTCTGAGATGTGTTTGAGTCTGAGATGTGTTTGAGTCTGAGATGTGCCTGAGTCTGAGATGTGTTTGAGTCTGAGATGTGTTTGAGTCTGAGATGTGTTTGAGTCTGAGATGTGTTTGAGTCTGAGAAGTGTTTGAGTCTGAGATGTGTTTGAGTCTGAGATGTGTTTGAGTCTGAGATGTGTTTGAGTCTGAGAAGTGTTTGAGTCTGAGATGTGTTTGAGTCTGAGATGTGTCTGAGTCTGAGATGTGCCTGAGTCTGAGATGTGCCTGAGTCTGAGATGTGTTTGAGTCTGAGATGTGTTTGAGTCTGAGATGTGTTTGAGTCTGAGATGTGCTTGAGTCTGAGATGTGTTTGAGTCTGAGATGTGTTTGAGTCTGAGATGTGCTTGAGTCTGAGATGTGTTTGAGTCTGAGATGTGTTTGAGTCTGAGATGTGTTTGAGTCTGAGATGTGTCTGAGTCTGAGATGTGTCTGAGTCTGAGATCTGCCTGAGTCTGCGATGAGTCTGAGATGTGTCTGAGTCTGAGATGTGTTTGAGTCTGCGATGAGTCTGAGATGTGTCTGAGTCTGCGATGAGTCTGAGATGTGTCTGAGTCTGAGATGTGTCTGAGTCTGAGATGTGCTTGAGTCTGAGATGTGTTTGAGTCTGAGATGTGTTTGAGTCTGAGATGTGCTTGAGTCTGAGATGTGTTTGAGTCTGAGATGTGTTTGAGTCTGAGATGTGTTTGAGTCTGAGATGTGTCTGAGTCTGAGATGTGTCTGAGTCTGAGATCTGCCTGAGTCTGCGATGAGTCTGAGATGTGTCTGAGTCTGAGATGTGTTTGAGTCTGCGATGAGTCTGAGATGTGTCTGAGTCTGCGATGAGTCTGAGATGTGTCTGAGTCTGAGATGTGTCTGAGTCTGAGATGTGTCTGAGTCTGAGATGTGTCTGAGTCTGAGATGTGTTTGAGTCTGAGATGTGTTTGAGTCTGAGATGTGCTTGAGTCTGAGATGTGTTTGAGTCTGAGATGTGCCTGAGTCTGAGATGTGTCTGAGTCTGAGATGTGTTTGAGTCTGAGATCTGCCTGAGTCTGAGATGTGTTTGAGTCTGAGATGTGTTTGAGTCTGAGATGTGCTTGAGTCTGAGATGTGTTTGAGTCTGAGATGTGCCTGAGTCTGAGATGTGTCTGAGTCTGAGATGTGTTTGAGTCTGAGATGTGCCTGAGTCTGAGATGTGCCTGAGTCTGAGATGTGCCTGAGTCTGAGATGTGCCTGAGTCTGAGATGTGTCTGAGTCTGAGATGTGTCTGAGTCTGAGATGTGTCTGAGTCTGAGATGTGTCTGAGTCTGAGATGTGTTTGAGTCTGAGATGTGCCTGAGTCTGAGATGTGTTTGAGTCTGAGATGTGTCTGAGTCTGAGATGTGTCTGAGTCTGAGATGTGTTCGAGTCTGAGATGTGTCTGAGTCTGAGATGTGTCTGAGTCTGAGATGTGTCTGAGTCTGAGATGTGTCTGAGTCTGAGATGTGTCTGAGTCTGAGATGTGTCTGAGTCTGAGATGTGTTTGAGTCTGAGATGTGTTTGAGTCTGAGATGTGTTTGAGTCTGAGATGTGTTTGAGTCTGAGATGTGTTTGAGTCTGAGATGTGCTTGTGTTCGAGCAGGACGGAGTACGGCCGCAGGAACAGGACCGCCTTCAGGATTCAAGTGGAAAAAGGTCCAAATTACTTCAAACTGTTGTGTTATTATTATTATTATATGAAAACTGTGTTAGAGCAGGGGTTTCCGATCCGGGAGGGACGACGGCCGTGGAGAAGATTACAAACAAACAAATAAGACTAAGATAAATGATACATTTAAATCTAATTGAAATTAATTTAGTAAGTTATTAGTCTATTCCATCGATTAAATTAGATTAAAATCATTTAAAAAAATCATTAAAATAAAAAATTTGTTTGCAATTAAAACGATTGAATTAAAATAAATGAATAAAAATCTGACTAAAATAAATATAGAATAAAAATAAAAATGTTGGTTATTAATCTATTAAATCGAATAAATTATATTAAAATAAATAAAAAATGAATTGTATAAATAAATGTTATATTAAAATTAAATAAATAAATAGTAGAAATTAGTAGAAGTAAATTAAATAAATTAGTTTAAAATAAATAAAATAAAATGTGATTAAAATAACATCTTAGTTATCTATTAAATCGATTAAATTTGATCAAAATAAATGAAGAAATGTGATTAAAAAATAGTAGTTATTATTCTATAACAGTTGTGGCCAGAGTTATTGTGGCCGATGTGTTTTGGAAAACTTTTATTTCATATTGTGATTTACCTTTATTTTACCTAAATGAAAGGTCCGATTTTTGAGATTTTATTTATTTGTTTTAATTTTATTTTTAAATAAAAGATCAAAAAGATAAACAATTCTGATTTATAGAGTGACAATAATTCTCACCACATCTGTATATCGATTCAAGTAGATTAAACACTTTTTTAATTATATAAATAAATAAATATAAATTTGATTAAAATGTAATAAATAGACAAATACATTTAACAGTACATCGCTATAGTGATCAAAAGTAAATAATTACATTAGATTAAAATAAATTAGTAAAAATGTGGTAAAAATAAAAATGTATTAATTTTTTGTAAAATAAAAATTTATTAATTGTTATAATCTATTATAAATGATAATAATCAACCGAGTATAAAACCAAACATTGCACTAACTTAACCAACGTAAAATCAAAGAGGGCATAACGTGTGTGTGTGTGTGTGTGTTGGGGAGGTCTGAGGAGTAAAGTGCATGTATTTAAATTGCAAGAAACAATGTGTGATGAAACAGGTTGAACGCGTTAGAGCAGTGTCAGTGTGTGTGCATGCCAAGGAAACGCTTTGAGCTGTTGGTGGTAAAGTGTGTTTGATTGTATGTGTGTAGTGTATGCAGTGATATGCAGCGAGTCTGACATCTGTGTCCTGGAGAACACACACCTGGCCAAGCGAGCGCGGCGCAGCCGAGAGGACGGGTACGACAGCACACACACTCTCCATCATCAGCAGTGTTCCTGCTGCGTGCTCCTAACACACACACTCCATCATCAGCAGTGTTCCTGCTGCGTGCTCCTAACACACACTCTCCATCATCAGCAGTGTTCCTGCTGCGTGCTCCTAACACACACTCTCCATCATCAGCAGTGTTCCTGCTGCGTGCTCCTAACACACACTCTCCATCATCAGCAGTGTTCCTGCTGCGTGCTCCTAACACACACTCTCCATCATCAGCAGTGTTCCTGCTGCGTGCTCCTAACACACACTCTCCATCATCAGCAGTGTTCCTGCTGCGTGCTCCTAACACACACTCTCCATCATCAGCAGTGTTCCTCCTGTGTGCTCCTAACGCTGTTGTGTGTTTCAGGGACGCCAGCGAGGGCAGCACTGACAGCGAGGACGAGGTTCCCGAACACGAGGTAACTCCACAACACCAGACACATCACATCTCCCTCCAGGCGGGACGCAGCCGCGCGCACATCACCCTTCAGATTGAGCTAATTGAAAATACGCCCGATGGAAACATGTATATCGCAACTCGTGTATCACAAAACAGTTTCACGCTCGCATGAGGGGTCTTCAAGCACTTCGAAACAGGAATATAAAACCCTGCAGTGGAAACAGCTTTTGCGCATGTACAGTCTCCTGTCGTAGATGATGTGTGTGTGTGTGTGGACAGAAGACGAGACAAGTTCTTTATTAAACTCATGAAAGACAGAAGTATTACAGGAATACTGGACTCTAAACCACAGAAATGCCACAGTTTATCAAGAGCTTGAAGAAGAACTGAGGAGAATCTCCCAGAAACTCCTCACACGCGCCGCTCACAGTCTTACACCGTGTCCTAACTACAGGCGCCGCGCGATAAAAGGCTTATTTTCCATCTTAATCAGAGTGTTTGTGCTAACCAGCCGCGACGTCGCGCTCGAACAACAAACAAAGTGTGGCGATGATGATCTCAGGCACTGTTTATGTCCTTTATTTACCGTTAAAAGCGTGTCATGTGACTCTGAATATCAGTTAGAGCTCCAGCTTAAAAGCAACAATGGATAATTCGCCTCAGATCTTGAAATTAAACAAATGGAAACAAGAACGTTCAAACTGTGAACAAACAAGTGTATTCTTTGACACAGATTGTTTAGTAACTCAGTAGCCTATGTGTTTGAATAATGTTTAAATGGTGTAATATTTGTGAATTTGATTATGTACTTATCCATGTTCTTGCGAGTGCCGTCAGGATTGCTCTCCGGTGCCGCTAGACTCCGCCCACACACTGCTCTGATTGGCTGTGGGTTTTGAGTGATTTTGATGCATCTCGCGTCGCCGTCTAGTGGCGTCTAAATAGACAAATTATTTGTTGCTGGAATCTTATCGCATCGCGTCAGGTTAGGACACAGTGTAAGAGTCTTTCCTTGGCATTAATGCTGAATAACACACACACGTCTCCATCCGTTAATAATAATAATGTCTAGTGCGGTGGCTGAGATACACAAACCCACTAACATCCGTCGCCGTGATGTTTGCGATGACTTATCATGAGAGGAAAAAAATATGTTTTAGTCAGATCGGTTAATGGAAACGCCGCCGTCGTTTCGCAATAGTTCTCCATCAAACGACTCTGTTTAGCTTAGCTCTGTAATGTAGCACAGCTCCTGGTAAGCGTGTGTGTGTGTGTGTGTGTGTGTGTGTGTGTGTCTCGACAGCACACGAACCTGATGAACAGCTCTCTGACGTCCCTGTACCAGAGCGGAGCGAGCGGCTCGACGCCTCGGAGGAGCGAGGGCTGGGTCCTGGACCACACAGGAGAACCACAGGACAACATCTGCATCGACCTGTGTGAGGACGAGGCCGCCAGCACTGAGGTACACACAGCCTTCACACACACTCACACACACCCAGAACACACACAGCCTTCACACACACTCACACACACCCAGAACACACACTCACACACACCCAGAACACACTCACACACACCCAGAACACACACAGCCTTCCGCCAGCACTGCGGTACACACAGCCTTCACACACACTCACACACACCCAGAACACACACAGCCTTCACACACACTCACACACACCCAGAACACACACTCACACACACCCAGAACACACTCACACACACCCAGAACACACACAGCCTTCCGCCAGCACTGCGGTACACACAGCCTTCACACACACTCACACACACCCAGAACACACACAGCCTTCACACACACTCACACACACCCAGAACACACACAGCCTTCACACACACTCACACACACGCAGAACACACACTCACACACACCCAGAACACACACAGCCTTCCGCCAGCACTGCGGTACACACAGCCTTCACACACACTCACACACACCCAGAACACACACTCACACACACCCAGAACACACACTCACACACACCCAGAACACACACAGCCTTCCGCCAGCACTGCGGTACACACAGCCTTCACACACACTCACACACACCCAGAACACACACTCACACACACAGCCTTCCGCCAGCACTGCGGTACACACAGCCTTCACACACACTCACACACACCCAGAACACACACAGCCTTCACACACACTCACACACACCCAGAACACACACTCACACACACCCAGAACACACTCACACACACCCAGAACACACACAGCCTTCCGCCAGCACTGCGGTACACACAGCCTTCACACACACTCACACACACCCAGAACACACACAGCCTTCACACACACTCACACACACCCAGAACACACACAGCCTTCACACACACTCACACACACGCAGAACACACACTCACACACACCCAGAACACACACAGCCTTCCGCCAGCACTGCGGTACACACAGCCTTCACACAGCCTTCACACACACTCACACACACCCAGAACACACACTCACACACACAGCCTTCCGCCAGCACTGTGGTACACACAGCCTTCACACACACTCACACACACCCAGAACACACACTCACACACACAGCCTTCCGCCAGCACTGCGGTACACACAGCCTTCACACACACTCACACACACCCAGAACACACACTCACACACACCCAGAACACACACTCACACACACCCAGAACACACACAGCCTTCCGCCAGCACTGCGGTACACACAGCCTTCACACACACTCACACACACCCAGAACACACACTCACACACACAGCCTTCCGCCAGCACTGCGGTACACACAGCCTTCACACACACTCACACACACCCAGAACACACACTCACACACACCCAGAACACACACAGCCTTCACACACACTCACTCACACCCAGAACACACACTCACACACACCCAGAACACACACAGCCTTCCGCCAGCACTGCGGTACACACAGCCTTCACACACACTCACACACACCCAGAACACACACACTCACACACACCCAGAACACACACTCAGAACACACACTCACACACACCCAGAACACACACAGCCTTCACACACACTCACACACACCCAGAACACACACTCACACACACCCAGAACACACACAGCCTTCACACACACTCACACACACCCAGAACACACACTCACACACACCCAGAACACACACAGCCTTCCGCCAGCACTGTGGTACACACAGCCTTCACACACACTCACACACACCCAGAACACACACTCACACACACCCAGAACACACACTCACACACACCCAGAACACACACAGCCTTCACACACACTCACACACACCCAGAACACACACTCACACACACCCAGAACACACACAGCCTTCCGCCAGCACTGCGGTACACACAGCCTTCACACACACTCACACACACCCAGAACACACACAGCCTTCCGCCAGCACTGCGGTACACACAGCCTTCACACACACTCACACACACCCAGAACACACACTCACACACACCCAGAACACACACAGCCTTCACACACACTCACACACACACCCAGAACACACACTCACACACACCCAGAACACACACAGCCTTCCGCCAGCACTGTGGTACACACAGCCTTCACACACACTCACACACACCCAGAACACACACAGCCTTCCGCCAGCACTGCGGTACACACAGCCTTCACACACACTCACACACACCCAGAACACACACTCACACACACCCAGAACACACACAGCCTTCACACACACTCACACACACGCAGAACACACACTCACACACACCCAGAACACACACAGTCTTCCGCCAGCACTGCGGTACACACAGCCTTCACACACACTCACACACACCCAGAACACACACTCACACACACAGCCTTCCGCCAGCACTGTGGTACACACAGCCTTCACACACACTCACACACACCCAGAACACACACTCACACACACAGCCTTCCGCCAGCACTGCGGTACACACAGCCTTCACACACACTCACACACACCCAGAACACACACAGCCTTCCGCCAGCACTGCGGTACACACAGCCTTCACACACACTCACACAAACCCAGAACACACACTCACACACACCCAGAACACACACTCACACACACCCAGAACACACACAGCCTTCCGCCAGCACTGCGGTACACACAGCCTTCACACACACTCACACACACCCAGAACACACACTCACACACCCAGAACACACACAGCCTTCACACACACTCACACACACCCAGAACACACACTCACACACACCCTTCCGCCAGCACTGTGGTACACACAGCCTTCACACACACTCACACACACCCAGAACACACACTCACACACACCCAGAACACACACTCACACACACCCAGAACACACATAGCCTTCCGCCAGCACTGTGGTACACACAGCCTTCACACACACTCACACACACCCAGAACACACACAGCCTTCCGCCAGCACTGCGGTACACACAGCCTTCACACACACTCACACACACCCAGAACACACACTCACACACACCCAGAACACACACAGCCTTCACACACACTCACACACACACCCAGAACACACACTCACACACACCCAGAACACACACAGCCTTCCGCCAGCACTGTGGTACACACAGCCTTCACACACACTCACACACACCCAGAACACACACAGCCTTCCGCCAGCACTGCGGTACACACAGCCTTCACACACACTCACACACACCCAGAACACACACTCACACACACCCAGAACACACACAGCCTTCACACACACTCACACACACCCAGAACACACACTCACACACACCCAGAACACACACAGCCTTCACACACACTCACACACACGCAGAACACACACTCACACACACCCAGAACACACACAGTCTTCCGCCAGCACTGCGGTACACACAGCCTTCACACACACTCACACACACCCAGAACACACACTCACACACACAGCCTTCCGCCAGCACTGTGGTACACACAGCCTTCACACACACTCACACACACCCAGAACACACACAGCCTTCCGCCAGCACTGCGGTACACACAGCCTTCACACACACTCACACAAACCCAGAACACACACTCACACACACCCAGAACACACACTCACACACACCCAGAACACACACAGCCTTCCGCCAGCACTGCGGTACACACAGCCTTCACACACACTCACACACACCCAGAACACACACTCACACACACCCAGAACACACACAGCCTTCACACACACTCACACACACCCAGAACACACACTCACACACACCCAGAACACACACAGCCTTCCGCCAGCACTGCGGTACACACAGCCTTCACACACACTCACACACACCCAGAACACACACTCACACACACCCAGAACACACACAGCCTTCACACACACTCACACACACCCAGAACACACACAGCCTTCCGCCAGCACTGCGGTACACACAGCCTTCACACACACTCAGAACACACACTCACACACACCCAGAACACAAGGGGGGTGCACCTGAGACCCGCAGTGACAGCTGCTGTTAGACTCTAAAATGGAGAGCGACTGGAGTGACGCAAGTAGCTTTGCAACAGAGCGGTCATTTGAAGTCGAGGACTTTTCTCCCCCGCCTTCACCTGAAGTGGAGGATGTTGAATTGTCTGTGGACACAGGGCCAGAGCCATATCAGTTCCAGCCGCTAGCTCAAACTGCGGTCTTAACCGTGCGTTCACACCGCCGCCGGCGAGAGCGTCAAAGTGGCCGGAAGCCATTCAGTTTCAATGAGAACCGGCGGTGAGCTCCGGCGAGGGCGGCGTGGCGCGGCGCGTTTTGGGCGGTGAGGAGAAGTTGAAGCCAGGTCAACTTTATGGTAATGAGCTATGACGCGGTTTGGCGGCAACCAATCGGAATTTAGAAGTGCTCCGTTTGAGAGGATTCCAGGGAACGCAGTCCTGCAAACTTTGGTTCCGACCACATTAGTTCCCAAGCAAAATAGAGGAGAGGTTGATCTTTTTAATTTGATAAGAAGGCGCGCAACACTATTATAGGCAAGATTTTTGGTTTGGAAGGCTTGTTTTTCAGCGGGAATGCAAATTAGATTAGCACTTAACCATGAACACAAAAGCCACACCACACAAATGGCTTTTAATTGTTAAACTATAATTGTTAAGTTCTTTCCATCGATCAATTTATTACTTTCACATTTAAAAGATTCCATGAGGTTCACCTATACCTACTTTGTCAGTCTGCAAAAATATCGATCGACATGCTTGTTTGCTTTGCGGCCCCTTTAAATACAGTTAAATACAGAGCGTCCACAAATCTTTCCTCGGCGTCGTTGGCAGGGTGGCGAGAGTAAATTTTACTCTCGCACAGTAACTCCCGCATCACGATCGGCATCCGACGATGCTAGCGAGAATATTTTTTTCCAGGATTATTATTACTATTACGTTCAGTATATTTTGCTGCTATGTGAAAAAAAATCCAGCAAATCGCGCCGGCGTGTTTGCCGACACCAGAGGGTTAACTT